TTATTTTATTTCATCTCCCCAAGAGTCCGACAAGATAAGTGCTCCTGGGCCTGTTTTGCAGATAAGAAAATTTAAATCCCAGGAGGCTTCCCTGTTTATCCAAGGTCACCTGCCTTGCGTACGATGGAAATGAAATTTGAACTCGGGTCTGTCTGCCTCCAAGACACGGTTCTCTTCACAAGGGGGTTGCAAACTGGAAGCTCCAATGGGTCAAACCCAGCCTGCAGTGGTTGATCTGGGTCTTTACTGTTTGAATCACCAACATTGAAAAATCCAAAGATATTACATAAAACCGAGAGATCTAAGTCCTCTCCACAATGTGCCAGAGGTGGAGACTGGCCGCCTCAATGCCCACTTGCCAGCGATGGACAGAAGTTGAGCAGCAGCACCTCCTGTAGACAGCGGTTGGCCCCTCCATTTTGCAAACCACATTCTTCCGGGCTGTGCCACCGTGTATTTACCTGTCTGGCCCTTGAAGGTGTCTGTGTTTGCAACCCCGGCTCAACACTATAGCTTCTCAGGTGGTCAGTTCACCCCAAGTGCACTGCACACTCGAGTGATTTTCCCAGCAGTGACTGCTACGCAAACCATGCCTGATCCCCAATGCTCATGGGCAGAAGGGCCATGTGGAACTCAGTCTGTGGCAGGGAGAACAAAAGTAAGGAGAGTGGGCTCATGAGATGCTCTTTCTAACCAAGCCAGCACGCCTGGGCATGCCGAAACCCTAAACACTGATGCCCAAGGCCTGCCTCGTTCTGGCCACCAGGGAAGTCGCCTATGAGTGCGATGTCTTTTTACCCAGAGCCTCACATAAAACTCCACACAGGAAGAAGGAAAGGACTTAGAGGGCCTTCATTTCTGGTGAACCCAAGGGGGGAGAAGCCAGCCTGCTTCTTGGCATGTCACCTGGTTTTCCTTCCACTGAAGTTCATAAGACCAGGTGTCATAGGTATATCAGCCGACACTCGAGGAAAGGTTAAAAAGTCCACCAGTAAAGCAAAACCTACTGTGGCGTGGTGGGCACCCTTTGAAGAGGGTGCTGACCCAAACTCCTGTGTTGATGCACCTGGTTCCGTGTAGTACTCCGCTTCCCCTACCTTGACAGACAAGCTGTTTTAAACCGTGGCTCAAAGTGCGAAGCCGAATACAAAATACACCATCATGTGACCAATGTCATTTTCCTCTGCAGCTGATTTTCGAAGTTGCTTTCAATGGTCCCAAAGGAGGGTATGTGGCCCTGGATGATATTTCTTTTTCTCCGGTTCATTGCCAGAATCAGACAGGTAAGCGTTCTCTTATTCCTCCTCTTTGCATTTGGAATTTTACGTCATCGATGCCTGTGATCAGAATTTGCTGCGATTCTGCCCATGTCCTCACCACCCCCCTTATCTCAGATTCAGACACTATTTAACTGAGAACAGTCATCAAATAATCTCTGTTCATCACAAAGCGAACCAAACTTTCCTGACACTACAGGCCACCTCTCCTGCGATAGGGAACTTCCTTCTTCCTTCCATGTTCCAAACAACAACAACAACAACAACAACAACCTCGAGTCCATTATGACTCAAGATGACCCTTTAGAACAGGGTCTAAATGCCCCTGTTTCTGAACCTGGAACTCTTTACAGTAGAGAACCTGTTTCCTGTGCAGCTGCTGGTGGTTTCAAACCACTGACCTTATAGTTAGCAGCCTAATGCATAATCATTGCGGCACCAGTGCTGCTGGTTTATCTGTTATGAGAAGAAAATTAAATCATGCTAACTCCTTCCCACCCCATCTTTCTCTTCAGATGCTGTCTGAGTCCATAGATAGATGAGTGGGTGAAGAAGAAACAAAAACCTCCAAATTTACTCAATAGAATCATTTTACGTGCCCAAGTCTTATAAATGGCTTCATTTTTGCTTGTTTGTTTGTTTTTTTGAATCGTTTTATTAGGGGCTCATACAACTCTTATCACAATCCATACATACATCAATTGCGTAAAGCACATTTGTGCATTCATTGCCCTCGTCATTCTCAAAACATTTGCTCTCCACCTACGCCCCTGGCATCAGCTCCTCATTTTTCCCCTCCCTCCCTGCTCCCCACTCCTTCATGAACCCTTGATAATCTATAAATTATTATTTTGTCATATCTTGCCCTGTCCGACGTCTCTCTTCACCCACCTTTCCGCCGTCTGTCCCCCAGGGAGGAGGTCACATACAGATCCTTGTAATCGGTTCCCCCTTTCCAACCCTCCCTTCCTTCACCCTCCCAGCATCGCCACTCTCACCACTGGTCCTGAAGGGATCTTCTATCCCGGATTCCCTGTGTTTCCAGTCCCTATCTGTACCAGTACATCCTCTGGTCTAGCCAGACTTGCAAGGTAGAATGGGGATCATGATCGTGGGGGAGGAGGAAAAATGGCCTCGTTTTTAAGGACTTTGATGTATCAGTGCTTCATCCGAGAGGACAGGGTGGAACTGCCCCTGAGAGTTTCTGCAAGGGCAACTGTTTAGAGGAACAGAAAGTGCTGTCTCTCCTGCAGAGCGGCTGGTCATTTCAAACCGCTGACTTTGCAGATCGCAGCCCAACACATAACCACTACGCCACCAGAGCTCCGTTTACTTTGAAAGCCCTAGTAAAATACCATTCTTGCTTGTAGACCACCTAGGTATCAGATGATCACATGGTGAATCCCCTTTCCCTCCAGCCACACACGGAAGAATCTTACTACATTCAGCCTTTATAATTCCGCACTTCTTTGCCAGTCTTGTAGCCGAGTACCTTGTTCCTGCAGATTTGGGGCAAAGTCACTGGAAGCTGCCGGTGCAAGTTCTTAAAAGTGGTGTCTGCCATGGTCTGACCGCTTTCATTAAATGCCATCTGATACTCATTCCCTGCATGCTCGATGGTTTTAATAAACTCCTTGGCAGTTTGGATTTCATTTGAAACCGTTATTGATCCTGCACATCTTTATGACTAAGCCCAGTCTGTCTCCCGCAAATAAGGGAGATCAAATGATAGGGTGCTAAATTGAACCTCACTGCATCTGCATCAATCCACTTCCCAATGCACTCTGCATGTTAGCAAGGCTAGTCACATCCCTGGTCCACGGTCAGAGGGGATGCACCAGCGGCTGAATCCATGGAGATTTGGATTTTATTATTTCTAATCCTTGGATCACGTAGGTCGGTGTGCTTCCTTTGTGTGGGCTTAGTCGATATTTCACTTAGATGGCTGCTTGTTTGAAGACTAGCCTCTAAGACCAGAGAAGCTCTTCCTTCTGATAGCTGGGCACTGTCTTGTTGCTTTGCCACACTTGGCTGTAAAATCCATCTCTTCAGTGATCTCTGCGTGAGTGTGAACACACGAGTGATGGATTCAGCAGCGATGTGTAACTTCCCATCTGACACGGAGTCGACGCTGACTCATTGTGACCCTACAGGACAGGGTAGAACTGCCCCTGTGAGTTTCTGAGGCTATAACTCTTTGCCGGAGTAGGCAGCTCCATTTTTCACCTTCACAGTGGCTGCTGGTTTCAAACTGCTGACCTTGCAATTAGCAGCCCAATGTGTAATCGCTATATGCTCTTAATTTAAGTATTCTTCCCTTTCAAGGTGAAACCTCAAGCTATATTATTTCATTGCAGTCAATTTTATAATTTGAATAAAGCTAGTATTTGGGAAAGAGGGCAGTAATACTTCTTGCCAGGAAATCATATAACCAAATGGATGCAAAGTGAATCGGAAAATAAACATCTTAAAATTTTACAAAAGAAGACAATACCATGGGACTTCAAAACGTTGGTGGGAAAAAAGCTATTCTCTTTCCATTTCATTTTTCTGTGAACAGTTTGAAGCCTTCTTGTATATTAATTGTAAACTTGACCAAAAAACTCAAGGCCATCGAATTGATTTTGGGGCAAAGCAACCATCTCGGTGGGTTTCGAAGGCTGCCTCACCTTTCTCCCACGGAGTGGCTGGAGGGTTTAAACTGCCTATCTTGAGGTTAGCCGTCCAAATACTTACCCAACAGCCCGCTAGTAACCCAGATAAATGTAATGGCCCTTACATTTGAGTGAATTTGTTTCCTTGAGAGACCCCAGGGCTACACTGTGGGTATCTCATTTCCTTAATGAGTCCTTATTCAGAGTTCTGGAGCATGGAAGATAAACTTGAATTTGACCCTGCGGTTATGACTTCCACTGAGGATCTAGTTGGTCTCTAAGTGAATATTGTTTCTGACATGGTTATAAGCAAAGAGATGGAGAAAGATGCTGTCTACTGCAGCTAAACTAATACTTTCAAAATAGAGGAAAACGGACTAATTATTACACTTCACAAATTCTAGTAAAAAATAGTAAATGGATATTACCAGATTGGACTTATGTATCTTTAATAAATGGTTTAATCTGAACAATAATGAAAGATTGTAAGGCTCTCTAAATTGGTCAGCCCATAGGCATAAAAAATGTTTTACTTCTCTAAATTTGATTGTCCCCTCATCAGTTAATATTTCCAGTAGGATTATAATATTTCACAATCTCTTTATTGTTATTTTTAGAAAATTCCTTCCTCTGCTATTAGACAGCTATTTTAAACTTTTGTGTTTCCAAAAGTAAATAAAAGTGCTTTTATTTACACAAAAGTACTTCCAAAATTCACCGGAATATGGAAAATATAACGGAATTCTCCCACAAACTTTTCGAGTCTCCCTCATAGAGGAGGGGGAAAGTGTTGATTCAGTATTGACCTTCAGAGCGTAGGTTGAAGAGACAACTGGAAGGTTACAGAGTTGACTGAGGCGCCTCATAACTAACGCTAACAAGGTTCTCCTCTTAAGAAAGATGCAGCTGGTATCGGAACTCTTTCCTGCCCTCCTGGTGGTTTGACTCATGACAAGAGAAGTTCTATCAACCCAAGGATCATTTCTTTAGAAGGCTGATCGCCCGTCCGTTTGTACCCACTTTTCTAGAGTTAATATAAGATCTATAGTGGTCTTCCGAATTTCCAACCATACTCACTAACTTTCAAATTATTCCTCCCAAGTTTAATGGGGGTGATCATCAAATGATGCCCAAGAGCAGGATTTTGGAGACACCGCCCCCACCCCACC